TTTGATTTATTGTAGAGATGAGGTCTTGCCAAGTTGCCAAGGTGGGTCTCGAACCCACGGTCTCAGGCAATCCACTCACCTCGGCCTCCCAAAGATTACAGGCTGAGCCACCGAGCCAGCCGAACCTAATTTTCTATTTTTAGACTTCAATTAGATCATAGGTAATTAAGTGTCATTTAAGCCTTGAGGGATTTGGGCTTGGTTCTGCTCTCAGCAGAAACCTGTTGGAATGCTCTTGAGTATAAGATTTGATTATTTCTGGCTCTGTGAGATCTTGGTCCAGGGGGAGCACTTGTAAATACTTTCTTTCGCCCCCTCCTCCTAGACACAAGGAGAATAAAGCTGCTTTTACAGATTACTGATTTGTTTGGGTGGGCACTATTGTTCTCACTGTGAGTCTAATTGGTTTTCTATTCAGATCATTAATAGTCTACTGTCCTCTGAGAACCCACTGCTGCTGCAGGGAAAGGCATTTGTGTTGCAGCCCTGATCTGGGTCTTTCTCCTGTGGGTCACTGGTTGCTGGATGCAGTGTGTAGTTAGCTTCTTTATTATCATAGTTGTGCTTTACTTCCCTTTTTTGTGTTCTTACAACTTTTGTATTAAAGTTGGGTAAATTGAGGCCAGGCACAGTGGCTGACTCCTGTAATCCCAGCACTTTGGGAGGCTGAGGCCAGAGGATTGCTTGAGCCTAGGAGTTCAAGACCAGCCTGGGGAACATAGTGAGACCTTGTCTCTACAAACAAATTAAAAAAAAAAATTAACTAGGCGTAGTGGTACGTGCCTGTAGTCCCAACTACTTGGAAAGCTAAGTGGAAGGATCACCTAAGCCCAGGTGGTTGAGACTGCAGTGAGGTATGATTGTGCCACGGCATTTTAGCCTTGGTGGACAACATGAGACCCTGACTCAAAAATTTTTTTTCTTTTTTTTCTGGGTAAATTGAAACACATTTTAAATATAATAGAATAGTTTTCTACTTAATTTATTTTCTTTTTTTTTTTTTTTTTTTGAGTTGGAGTCTTACTCCATTTCCCAGCCTAGAGTGCAGTGGCACACTCAGGGCCACCCCAGTGTCTCTTCTTGGGCTCAGGTGATTCTTCTGCCTCAGTCTTCCAAGTAGTCAGAACTACAGGTGTGCACTACTGTGCCCGGCTAATTTTTTGATTTATTGTAGAGACAAGGTCTCACCAAGTTGCCTAGGCCGATCTCGAGACCCTGGGCTCAGGCATATCCTCTCGCCTTGGCCTTCCAAAGTGCTGGGATTACAGACTTGAGCCACTGCGCCCAGCCTTTTTTTTGAGACAGGGTCTTATTCTGTTGTCCAGGTTGGAATGCAGTGGTGTGATCACAGCACACTTGAACTCCTGGGCTCAAGAAATCCTCAGTCTCCCAAGTAGCTGAGAATATGGGCATGCCACCACTCTTGGGTAATTACAAAAATTTTTTTTGTGGAGATGGAGTCTCATTATATTGCCCAGGCTGGTCTCAAACTCCTGGCCTTGAATGACCGCCCCCTCCTGGCCTCCTAAAGTGCTGGGATTTTGGATATAAGCCACCATGAACTGCCTTTTGTTTTCTTTTTTCTTTTTTTTTTTTTGAGTTGGAGTCTCACTCTGTCGCCCAGACTGGAGTGCAGTGGCCGCTCCTGGCCACCGCAGGCTCGACCTGCTGGGCTCCAGCGATCCTTCCGCCTCAGCCTTCCGAGTAGCCGGAATTACAGGCATGCACTATCACGCCCGGCTGATTTTTTTTTTTTTTTTTTGACTTATTGTAGAGATGAGGTCTTGCTGCCCAGACAGGTCTCGAACCCGCGGGCTCAGGCAATCCACTCACCTCAGCCTCCCAAAGGCGCGGGATTACAGGCTGAGCCACCGAGCCCAGCTTTGTTTTCTAAGTACAGAAAAATAAGGCACACTAAAATGTTATTTCATATAGTAAAGAAGTCTCTAAAAGATATTCCATAATAATACAGAAGACTGTTTTCTAAAGTTCTGTTAGTTTTTATTTGTTAATTGTTGGATTTAAGGTCAGACTCATTTAACACATTTTTGTGTTTTTGTCGTCTCTACTCTTCTTGTCCCATATGCCTGCCACCTAGATTCTTGAAAACTTGAGTTTTATAATCTTTAGAAAGCGGTTTCTTTTTTTAAAAACTCCCTACCCCCTCATTCTCACTACTCAGAGCTCACAAGGGGCACCAAGATTATATAAGTTTCTTTCTTCTTTTTCTCCTCCTCCTCCCCTTTCTCCTCCCCCTCCTCCTCCTACTTCCCCTTCCTCTTTCCTTCCCTTCTCCCTCCCCTTTTTCTCTCTTTTTAAGTGGTGGGTTCTTGATATATCACCCAGGCTGGCCTCGAACTCCTCCTCATCTCAAGCAGTCCTCCTGAGTAGCTAGGGTGTGCCACTGCACCCTGCTAAAAACCAGTTTGTTATTAGGGAATATTTCTATATCAGTCAGACTGATCTATACTATTTTTGTGTGTGTGTCTTATATTGAGTAATAGACAAAGCTAACAACTACTTTAGTGTCTTTTCTGTTAAATGTCCTGAAATTTTACCATTGACTAAAGAAGATGGGTGCCTAAAACAATTTAGAAGGGGCTGCTTGAGTCCCCACCTCTCTGTTTAATCTCTTAAGTGTTGGAGTCATGATAAGGAGAAAGAGGGTGGAATCTTTTTTTTAACTTAGACTAAATATTCAGAAACATAATGAATCTCATTTTCCAAAATGTACTGCAGATTTAAAAGTACTTGACAAATAAGTAAACCTAAGAAGAAAATAAATAAAAAAAGTTCAAAGCCTCACTTCTGTTAAAAACTTTACTGACACGCCCGAAGAATCTCTCACTGTTTGGTGATAGCGCCTGCCTTCAGGGTGTTAGGAGAGTAAGAAGATTTCTCTTGGAACACTCACTTCATCTGACGCCTGCTGTTAGATTGGTACTTCTCATCACAGTCCGAGCACCTTCTCAGTTTGCAGATCTGTTTTCTTGCCCTTGAGTCTTGTTTCAAGTTCCTTGCTGTCAGCAAGGAGTCAGGTACTGTAGTGTCCTTGTGCAGGGCATTTCCTTCTACCTCCAAACAGGGTCCGGACCACAACACTAGCGGATGGACCTGCGTGTGAGGATATGCTGATGGACCTGCATGTGAGGTCCATAGCTGGTTCAGTGACATGGGACCCCAGGGCACTTGGCCCCTGGCTACTCTGACTGCTGAGTAGGAATCACTATCAGAGGCAAAGCATATGTTCAAAGGGGGACCCAAAAAAACCTGGAATTCTTTTGGATGGTGGGCCCTTGAAGTGCAAGTTTCCCCTGCTACGTAGGTGTTTTAGGAGCCTGTCAGTATCAGTATACCAGCTAGCATTGTTGTGAGAGGCTGCATTCTGCTTCACTGATTTTTGTCTGTGTGTGTCTAGGTTCTTTCAATTCATCTGCCCATTTCATGATGGGTGATTTATGAGTGAAGAGTGTACCTGCCTACACCTTGCTGAGCATTCAGCAGTTTTTTACCAAACATGGCATGACCCCTGTGCTATCCTCCCTATTCACTTGGTCTTACCCCAAGTGACTTATTTTTGTTTCCCTGGATGAAAAAATTCTTAAAGGGAAACGTTTTGCTGATGTGGAAGAGGTGAAACAAAAAGCAGCACTAAAAGGCATCAAAATTGACAAGTTCACAAACTGTTTTGAGCGGTGCAAAAAGTGTTTTGATATGTGTATTGCATCAAATAGATTACTTTGAAGGTGACTGAAGTTTAAACATGTAAGAATAAATAATTTTTTATAAATCAATTTTTTTGGGTTCCTCTTGTACAGTCAATATTTTAAACATTTTTATTGAGGAATAATTTTTATATAATTCCTTTTTATACTTAAAAATTATTTTAAATTTCAGATATACTGGAAAGTTCAAAGGATGCTTTCGTGAATACCCACATATATTTGCTACCTAGATTCTCCAGTTAACATTTTACTATACTTGCTTTATCACATTAAGACTACATTTTATCATAAATGAGACCACCCAGTCCCAGCACTTAACGTTTTCTTTCTGTTAGTCCAACAACCATTTTCTTTAACAAATGACACATTTAAACCTATGGGTTTAACTCTACATTCATAATAAGTTGATTATGTACCTAGAGGTAACAACACTTAGATTACTCTTCCTTTAGCTGAGTCAGTGACAGAATTCCTCATAGATCCGTCTGGGAGACCTACAAGTCACAAGAATAGTATCATTTTGTTTCTGCTTACCTCAGTTTAGAAAGCTGGAGGTCTCTTGGGTTACAAGACAACTGTGACTTGTGCTGGACCTGTTGAAGTGTGTCATATGTAACAGTGTGAACCAGGCTCTTTGGAATGTTGAATAACATCTTGAGCTTCAGCTGAGCTTACAGTAGCTGTTCTTTTTGGATCCACAGAATAAAAAGGGCACAGAGCTGCTGCTTGGAGTCGATGCTCTGGGACTTCACATCTATGATCCTGAGAATAGGCTGACCCCAAAGATTTCCTTCCCATGGAATGAAATCCGAAACATCTCATACAGTGACAAGGAGGTAAGATGTGTCTATACTGTGGCCCGAGGGTACAGCAAAAGGTCTTTCCCCAGCTCTTCTTGCTGAAGCTTCCCCAGCTAGGCTGTCTACTTGTTATTAGTAAAACCCTTTAATTCCCAGGCTTTGAGATTTTGGTTGTTGATTTTTAAAGTATTCATAGAGCAATATTGGCATCCTTTTTTCAAAGGGCATCACTAAACCTCACTATGGCTAACGAGAGTGGGAGGCTCAACTTGTCAGGACTAAACCCCAAAGAACAGTCAACAAAAATGTAACTTTTTCTTATTATTTGGCTTTCTATTTCTGGTGATAAATTCTTTTTTTTTCTTTTTTAGAGATGAGGTTTTGCTTTGTCGCTCAGGCTGGATTTGAACTCCTGGGTTCAAATGAGCCTCCTGCTTCATCCTCCTGTGTGACTAGGACTACAGGTGCACACCACCCAGCTTAAAGTCTCTTTTTATTTTATTTTATTTATTTATTTATTTTTTGAGTTGGCGTCTCACTCTGTCGCCCAGACTGGAGTGCAGTGGCCGCTCCAGGCCACTGCAGCCTCGACCTGCTGGGTTCCAGA